AGCGCCGCGGAGCAGCTCGGGGGCTTATCCTAGGCACCTGGGGTGCGGTTACATGTCGCCGGGGGCACGGTAGGGGTCTGTTTTTTGGGCTAGTGAAATGTATGGTGGTATGCGAGGGGGTAGAGGCAAGTCGGGTAAGCGAGAAGCAGGGTGTGAGGATTTGCAGTCTCAAGTGTGAGAAGACGTGATGGGCGCTACTGGAACAAAGTAGGAAGAGAAATACAAAAACCAGGAGAGGCTGAACATAAAATGAGTGATAAATACATGAAGAAGCAATAAAGGTTGATAACAGCATGAGGTTTCTGTAGAACTATTTATGAGTAGGAAGTTGAGAGCCAGCATTATAATAAAGTATGGAACCGTCATTCCTTTAAATGCCTGAGGAATCATGGCCCAGATGTTTTCACCTTTAAGGCACAGGCATTCTCTTTTGCCAGAAGTTGTCAGGGAGCATTTTTCAGATGTTGCAGCTTTCTTGTATTGTACTGCTTGACTGTGGTCATTGGGTGTGTTTTACAGGGAGCTCACTTGATTTAGAAAAATATTTGGTGGGGATTTACATGTTGAAATATGCTTTCCTTTTGGTCTACAAGAGCTTGGACTTTCTGAGTATCTTGGATTTATTTTTTATTTTATTTTTTGTGTGTGTCTGTTTGCCCTTCCAGTCTTACTCTTTGAACTAGTGATCACAATAATTGCTAAATTATCTCCTGGTGCCTTTAGCTGTCTTCTCTGTTGCTTTTCTATAGGTTAGTTCATCAGATTTTACTGCACTGACTTGGCATTGCATATCCATAATAAACCCGTCACTTTTTTTTTCTTCCCTTAGCTATGTTCTTGGGAGCTCTGCATAATGTGAGATACTGTACTTCCTAGAGTTGTGTCTGGACCCAAGTCTTTGAGGCAGCTTTGTTGGAAATACTACTGCTGTGGTAGATGTTTAAAAATACTACTTACATCTTTATGCTGTGATAGGAGATGGGTATTTCTCTTGAACTATCACAACACAGTATCTTGAATTGTGATCCTGTTACAAGATTTCTTGAGGCGAGAGAGATTATCTTCATTGGAAAAAAGTAACCAGTAGTTTTATTGCCCTTCCTCCTGTCATTAGAGATGCTTGTGTTATACAAAAAAATGCAAGATACCACCTTTGCTGCTGTTGCTGTCTACACCTATTTTAGATTGTCCTGCCAAGACACTTCATGTTTGGGGCATAACACTGAAAAGAGAGCGCTTTAGCATTCACATTTTCAAGAGGAGATTTCCCGCATGTCAACTGAACATCGTCTTGTTTGCACCTAATGCGAGATTCAAGCATGTAAAGCTAAAATATACGTTAGGTCAAAGCAGGAAATTTGGATAGAGAGAGGGAGAAAATGTAAACTGCTTTAAAGCTCCCATGCAAATTAGTCTGCAACGCTTTGCTGTAGGGATGAATAGCTCATAAGTTTGAACTGTGATAGACAGGCCAGGCTTATTTGTTTGACAGCAATATAGTAGGGCACAGTCATCATCCCAGGTAAAGGAAGTCTTCTTTCTGACGTTTTGAGTAGCATAAAAATTCCAGCCATCTTAGCCCTATGCATTTTAAAAGAAAAGGCATTGTTGCTAGCTGAATTCAGGATGAACAGTGAGCAGCTAGGTAGCTGAACAGAAGTCTTCAGTAGTTTTCAACTCTTAGTGAAGAATTTCAGTTTAGGTGATACAGTTTGTGGCACAGGTGTATGTGTGTGAAAGCTTTATGCCAGAAGTGGAATCGTCGTCCATAAACTGTCTTCTCTGTCCCACGTAGGCATATTGCCCTTCTGTCTTCAGTATTCTCAGTATATCATGGTCTGTGTTTTTTGTTTTGTTTTTAGAAAAGATATGCTGGTTTACTGGCTGCTCTGTTAGAGGCAGAGTACTAGTGGCAAACTGACAAACTGCAAGTTTTGGTAATGAGTCTGTACTGACTTAGAACTGATTTAATGGCTTGGCTTGCAGTGGTCAAGTTCTAGGTAGTCTAAGATAATATTAAGTGGGCTTAAAATCATATCTCCAGGATTTTCACATTGAACTTGGAATAACTGGTTTAGATATTGCTGAAATTCACGCACATGAGCAGGCACTTGGGGTTCCTTGTCCTTTTCAGCAGCACACCTCAAGGAGATCTTGAATGAGTATGTGGATAAGAGGATAAGTGTTTATTGAGCATCCAGTGTCATGCTGGTATGATATCTGGCAGGCTTTCCTTTGCAGACAAATGTTTTGTTTTTGTTTTTGTTTTTTTTATGGTTGCATATTTGTATTCTCTCAGAACTTAATTCTGTCCCGGTTCTCATAAGAACTCAGGTGAAGTTCTGTGATGTCTTACATTGTTTTTACTTGAAATTAATTTGTGTTTTTCAGGAACTTGGCTTTTTTTTTTCACCTCCATCAAAATTGTTCTTTCTGATAGCTTTCACTTCTGTCTGCAGGCTGTTTTGTACTGCACTTTTCACAAAAATAATGTCGTTCTTATCCACTAGATTTCAGTATTTCGCATGTCAAAGTAAAACTACTGTTCTTCAAACATCTTATCGTTTAAAATTCAGGTTTTCACTGAATCCATGAATATTCTCTGCTATTTTTGTCTCCAACTATGCAGTTCAAAAGAGATTCCAAGATATGCATGCTATCCACAAATCCTTCAGAATCTGTTGGAAAGGGAACATTTACGTCTGTTTTTTTCAAAGCCGAGGAGATGGTTATTTATAGTCTGTAATTCAAAGGAAGTATTTAGCAGGCAACGTCCAAGTCCACATACAAAAATGGTAGCATCTTATTTATTTTACTATATGTAGAGATTTGCAGGATGGACACCAGGCATCTTAATATCTCTGCAAAATTTAACAAAATAGAGCTATGATAAATGATTCTTCATAAGGCAGTGAAATATTTGCTCTTCCAGGAAGAGAGAATGTATTTTGAATGTCATGTCTAGCTATTGCATTTCCTGTAGGCACAGCACAGTGTAAAAGTAATTCTTCTCTCATTTATAGTGTTAGATTCCTAAGCAGAGCACCATCTCAAAGTCTTTTTGCCAACTCACCTGTGCCTCCTTGTTATTTCTCTTCCAAAAATTCCTGTTTTCCATTTAAACTTCTAAATTAAAAAACATACATCTTGATGACAGGTCAACTTAGCAAAGAATTGTATTTCTTCTGGGTTTTTTGTCTTGCTTGTCATTGTGTTATAACTGTACAGTGTCTAGCACGATTTATGAGTGAAACAGGGAAGATTTCTTGCACAGTTGTAAGTAATATTAGAATTTACCATTGAAAATTATCAAAATGCAAAATCTTTGGGGGGAAAAAAAGGGTTGTATATTTACTTCTCTAAAGCACATTTTTGACTACTCATAAATCTGTGATCATATGCTTGGTGACTTAGGAAAAGATAAGTGAGAATATTCTGATATTTATGGAGTGAAGCCACCCATATTACATTTTGGATTGTACATTCAGTGCCAGAGTTTGATCACTATCAAAGACTGGCTGTAGGTGGTACTGTCTATATTTCACAGTGTGGAAGCTGCTATGGCACTAATTCTCTGCTGCAGAATTTGCTTTAGAATTTCTTTGGGGTTGAAATATTTTTCACTTAATTCAAGACTAAGTTTAATAGGCATTTCATGCCTGCTTTCAGGGGAGCAGGACTAGGACACGTATTCTTGATCCTTTTTGTGAGGAAGATAATTCAGGATATGCTTAGGCATATACCTAATTCTGAATAAACCAGTGTCTTCCTGAATTTGCAGGGAGCCTAAACCGTTATCTCAGTCATGAGAAATTTGAAAAATATCAAGATTGTTGGTTTAAATACTAGCGCTTTTATATCTACTTGCAAGTCACATTAACAGAACTATATGACTAGTGCACTTCTAGTTCTGAACTGGTTACTACATACCTGGTATAGCTGAAAGTTGCAACTTCCACCTATACGTGTGAGAGAAGTTTTCTGATAACTTCTGTAAGATAGTTATGTATCGCCACATAAATGTAGGATACACTAAGTATAAGAAATAGGCAGCAGCATAGGGTAATAAATCTATCTTATGAAAAATTACACCTTTGTATATAAATGAAACTGCTTTCGAGTTTGCAGACTGTCATACCTGTGTACTAAAAATTCAGGACTATGCTACTTTTTTTTTTTTCCCCCCCTTTGAATACCTAGGGATTTGGGTTTTCAGTTACACTAATTTTACTCTCTTTCTGTGCCAGAACATGAAAGGGGGGGAAGGGGGAGGAGGGGATGCTGCATAGAGGTGAATTTCTTCTGTTTTTAAGAAGAATGCATAGAAAAAAGTTCAGTTTGTGTTTAAACACTGGCATTAAAGGTCTGCTGGGAAAGCAGACGTGATATGGTAGGTCACCATAGTAGTTTGTATCAACCAATGGGAAAGGTCATGCTTACTGGTTTAGGGAAATACTTAAAAGGGGAGAAGGGTTTAAAAACACTGCTGTAATTCAGTTTGGAGGGGGGCGGGGAGAAAGGTCAAACCAAGAGCTTAGCGTGTGGATGTGTGTGGCCAAAGCAGCAAGGAAGACCTGTCCAGTTCAGTAGTTCTTGAAATGCTGGTGAATGTGGGGATTCCCTGGAAGGGAGATTCTTGTCTTGTGTCTGAGTTGCTGCCCAGATTCTGCTGGATGAAGTGTGTTGGACATTTCTGCATTATTAAGGTGGGCTCAAGCAAAATGGACTTGGAACTCATTTCAAAACAGTAACTCCTCCTTTAATTCTGTACACTCTTAATTTTTTTCTTCCCCTGCACAGTGTGACAGTGAATGAGGGTGTGTGTGTGTAAAGGAACTTGTCTTAGCAATGGTCTCTTTCAGAGACCATGTATGGGTAAAGCAGTTCGGCTGGTTCAGCTCCCTGCTCCTCCCTCTCAGAGAGCTGAGCAGAATCTCTTCTGCTGAAATGGTTGTTCCACTTTCTGCTTTCTATATTTGTACAGCAGCAAGCATGCTAGCTAACTAGATGGTGTGGCCGGCCTTGTGTGCATTCAGCATTTGCTGAGCAGAATTGAGAGCCAGGGCTTACAGTCTCTGTTACGTCTGTCTGTCTGTCTGTCTGTCTCTGGGGAGGACTGGCGTTCCAAGTGAAAGGTGATCTGTTTGTGGATGTTTTCTTTCTTTGTAAAATGCAGTTCATCCAAGTTGGGAGTCTAGGGACGGGGAGTGGAGGAGGGAAGGCAGTTGTCTTGCAGGGAGATTATGTAGTGGGTGGCAGTGGCATCAGAAAGATACAGTTTTAACCTCCAAAAGAACTGCTGTCTTCTGGGATGAGGGTTTTAATGACCCTGCCTGCTTTGGGGAGTGATTAGCCAGGGCCTTTATCTTGCTATAAAAGGTCTGTGCTATAAAAGGTCTGTTGTCAGTCTGCCATGAATATTAATGAAAACTAGATCCTGTCCTGGAATAACTGAGTGCAGTCTTTGCTTGTTATGGGCAAGGGGGATTAATGAGGAGCTAGACCCTGGCCAGCCTAGTTTGGAATAAGGAGTTGGTGCTGAGGGATGGGGTTGTAGGAAATACCTTGTTAGGAAGAGCTGGAAACTTGTAACTAGGATTTCCCTGGCTATGCATTTGCATAAACTTTGTATTAAGGCCCTGCACACATTGGGATGACTATTCACAATTGCTTTTCTTAAGTAGTAGATGAGGTGAACAAATAGTGCAGGAAGTCTGTTAGCTGCTGACACTGTACTGATATGATGTTCTTTGAGTAGCAGAAAGGTGCTCAAAGTAGTGGCAGCAACTGGATCCACCGTTAACATTGGCAATAAATTGTTTGAGAGGGAGAAAGAGGGAAATAGATTATAGGGTACTTTTTCTGTCTTTTAGGGGATGCTGTCCACTTACAAATTCTGCCACCTTTTGAGTATCTATGCAAATAGGCATCAGGTCTTTTGTTTCTGGAATTTGAGCGAGGAAGACATTGTTTCACTTGTGAAACAGAAGGCAGCATCTTGCTAAAATCATTCTTGAGGACCACGTTCCATAAACTCAGTCTGAATTATTATTCTTTCCTACCACTGCAGTGTCTTCAGTGTATTTCCTCTTGAGAAAGCTATGTGTCAATTGGGGGATCTCAGCTGCCCAGTAATGTCTGAATCGCACTGTGTCTGCAGGCAGGGAACTGTGATTGATGTGTGGCAGAGGGTCATCTCATTCTTGAACTGCTTGAACTCAAGCAACTCTGTTGTGTGGCTGTTTTCTGATCATTCTTTGTGTAACTGGAACACACTGTGGTAGTTGTTCCATCTTCATCTGGAAAACTTACGGAATTCATTGTGAATATGCAGCTTCTGGGATGTTAAGCTTGTTGTCTTAAGTGCCCTGGTATGTTTCCCAATTCTCGCATCCTCCTAAAGCCCTCTGCCTTTCTTTCTTCCCACTTTTCCACTTCCTGTTGCCCCAGCTGACATCCTTTCATTTATACTAGCCAGAGCAAAGTGGCAAAATCATAATCTACACTGTTTCTAAGTTTACAATACCAATTAAAAGCAAATCTTGGTACTGTTTGATGCCAGTGATAGGGGTTGTACAATTCTTCTACTTTAAAGTGTTTTCTGGTAGCATACTTAATTTTTGCTTCTAGTCTTGTAGGAGGAATGTGATTAGGCAGTTTCAAAGGCCTCTTGGAAGTACACTATTGCATGTTTAAAAAATATTGTTTGTCCATTCTGTGAAAGATGTCATGATAAATGAGTAGAACGCTGAAGAAATATATGTTCACCAAGTACACTGAGTGGATGAAAGATAAAGCCAGGCTGTAGAATGGCATTAGGGGATTTAAATCTTCCATTTTGTAAGAATCTTCTTAAAGACGATATGTAAGAAAGTGACACTGTTCAGAGCTAAGCTAAGCTGTCAGTTGTGTTTCTTGGAAGGCAGATGCTTTGAGCTACGTATATAGTAAATTTGTCTTGCACCTATTACCCACTAGTGCAAAAAGGGTGACTTAGTGCTCTGCCTATTTCCAGGATTTCAAGTGATTCATGTAGCAAAATATAATGCTTTAGATATATAAGGTCAGGAAATCATATTTGCCATATATACTTTGAGTTTAAGGGAGAATACTCAGTAATCCATTCTGGATTGACTGCGCTATTATCCTGTTTGCAGAAAAGGTTTCATCAAGGTTGGAGACAAGTCAGAAATTAACTTTTGTCTGACATCCTTTGAAGGTCCTGAAATTCCACAGAAAGGGGTAATTTTTTATTTTCTTCTTATCTTATTGCTTTTATTTTTATGAAAAGAATTCCTTTTTTTATTATTAACGTCATAAACGTGCAGTTGAATAATAAAGTTACATTGAGGGTGGACATGTGGGAAGATTACAGGAATTTGTCAATAAGTCCAGTGTTCATTTGAAGTTAGTCAAACTTATAACTGCTGTTGAAAAGCAATTACAGGTATTAAATTCCAGGAAGAATTAAGTGAGAAGTGAAAGTTGAAAAGGATTTACTTGTGATTTTAAAAAGCTTAATCATACAGTTTAATCAAGGATAGGGAGTGACATGTCTTTAAATAATTGGAGGCAGTCCACTGACAAAGAATTGGGACAGTAAAGGTGATTATATGGAAGAACATGCACACATTTCTTGCACTTGTAGTGTTTTCTTAACGGAAGTAGTGGAAGCCGTATTTATCACTTGGGGCCTTTAAAAAGGATTAATCAGTAGAGAATTAATTATGTGAAATTTGGCACCTAAATCTGGTGGTGTAGTTCCATGAGTAATTTGAATGAGCATATGCCAGTATTGCTCTGAAAGAGGCTTGTTCCATCTTTCATGCGTTTCCCCTTTCCTTCGTGCTGCCAAGAGCATCTGTGTGGTTGTGCAGTGAATTGAATCAGGGAACATGTCTGGCTTCAAACCATTGTTTTCTTGTTGTTGTTGGTAGGCTAGATCGCACCTGGATCATTTCCTTTCTCAGGCTTGTTGTACAGAGGTGGGGATGGATAGCTGGTGAGGAAAGAGTTGTGCTCTATTCTTTTTGGGAAGAGCATTGTCTTAAACTGGATCTACAGTAGGAATATCTTGATCTATTCTTCTGTATTTCCACCCCGTTTCTATCTAATCTTCGTGGAGAGCTTATATCCAGTCTTCCCTAGTAATATAACCCAAAAAAATGAAGTAAGAATTGTTTGCATGTGTTGCCTGCTGTGACACACATCATTTGGTTCTAGACAGGGAGGTACTAAATATTGTCATAGCATATTTTTTTATGAATGCAGTATTTGATACATGCTGTGTTTGATGCTGCTGTACAGAGAAGCCTGCTGTTCATTTGGGAAGAAATTGGTGAACTTTCCTGATGTGAGGACAGAGAAGATAATGTGCCACGTAGACTGTTACATGTGAGGCTTCGATTCAGGAAGTATAAGGTACCTCCAGAATCTAGATATGAGGTATAGAAACCCTGAGAATCCAGCAAGATATATAAGAGGATTTTACATCTATTTTGAGTCCTCATGCAGCCGAGACTGTATTTATAGCACTTGTTTTTGTCATAAAGTTTCTGGAGTCTCCTCCTGCTAGCAGTGGAAACCAGCTGATGTCATACTGTGCCTTCCAGGAAAAGTGGATGGAAAGAATTGATGGAGAAGTGTGTAAGTGAAGAAAGTCTGAAAATACGTGCATAAAACTACAAGCAAGTACTGAGTCTCTCTAGTTCTTGGCAAAGTGCATTGACACTCTTGATCGTTCCCACCCACTTCTCCCCCCACCCAGCTAAAGTCTAAGATCGGGTAACGGATTCAGCCTTGTACAGCAGGGACGGTTTCTGGGGCCTCGGGAAGAGAGAGGAGCAAGCAGAGCTGTGCTGGCACAAGAGTCAGTAAGCATTAATCACCACAGGCGAGCAGCCTGGAGGGGGTGTTTCAGGGTCACAAAATGGGCCATGAGGGTAGTTTGTGGAATAAAAGGCTGCTGATGTCAGTAGGAAAGACATTTTATTAGTCGTCTTTAGATGTTTGTAACTAAGAATGAAAGTTAGGCTTCTTCAGACAGAGAAAAGTTCATCTTGAGTGTGGCATTGCATTTGTGAATGGTATTCAGACAAAAATAACACTTCAGGGTGCTGTGTGTGTTTATGCATTGATGTGTTTTCAGTAGGTATTAGGTTGTAAATTAATGCAGACTTTTTTCTGGTTTTCGTATATTATTTACAGTGGTTTGTATGCTTCAGATACTAGATAAAGATATTGAAGAGGGGCGTAAATATTGCAAAAAAGAAACCAAAGTATGTATAATGATGCTGCAAATGATAACAAATGAGAAACTTTCAGAAAGCTTGAGTAGAAGCTTAGGAAGAACTGCTTTGCAGTGAAATGGTTAGATTTTATTTCATTTGGGTTTTTGAACAAAAGTCAGGACATTCCTAAGTTAATGTTCCCACAGCAACGCCAGTGTTTGCCTATGATGAAGAAAAAGAAATAGTACGAAATATTTTTTTTAAAGCTTCAGCTCTACACACCCAATATTCAATCTCTTGAAGTGTTAATGATAATTATTCACTGTTGAAAGTTATTTGAATTAATATTCATTCCTTAAAATAGAGCATTGACTCTAGTTCTTTGCAGATGTAAATGAGTGTAATTTGAGACTTGTGTCCATTTACTTCTGCAAAGGATTTGACTGTGTGCCTATTTAAAAAAAAAAAAAAATCAAGTATATTTTTACTCTTTGGTTTGCAGGCATGGTAATGGCAGATTCTGCACGGTAGAGTTCATGGCAAGTTTTTGTCTAGTATAAGCTGAGCAAGAGACACATACAAGCTTAAGGTAAACCAGTCCTTCTTAGTTGTGCTTCTTTGAAATAAAATAGAAATGTTTATACTTAAACATTTTGCAAGTGCAGAATTTCAAGTCTACTCAGAATTTTGTATCCAGTTTGATTCTGATCTTTCAAAATTGGGACACCTCAAAATTATTTTCCCTCTGAAGCTGGCAGTAGATGTTGGAAATGGTCATATGTACTGTGTCCTCTTTTAGTATTTTACGTGTAATAGTACAGAATAGCGATTGCATTTGAGGATCTTTTTGGGGAGACCTGCAATACATCTTTCTTTTCTGTTTGGATTTGAATCTATTCTCTTCTGTGCAATCGAAAGAAAGAAGTGTGTAAGTACCTTGATACCATTATAAAAGACATTTTAGCGCAGAGCTATGCAAACTGTGTGTCTAAACACTGCACAGGGATGATTTTCCCGTTGAGATTTTTTGTCTTGCCTTTAATGATAGGTAAGTGAAAGTGTTAGTATTTGAATCTTGTGGCTGAGATGGATGAGGTTGTTAAAGTTCAGCTAGTGTTGTTGCTTCTAGAAGTAGGCTTAGTGGTTAAACTGAGAATACTGTTTCTGTTTGCTACACCTCAATCTTTTACCCAAAAGAAGACGTAAAACTGGCTACATTTGCTAGGTCTTCATGTGGCGTGTACAGTAACTGTAAAGCAAAACATGAATGTGTGTTTTCTGAATATTTTGGATCCTCATTCAAAAAGTACATAAAATGTTGTGTTGGTGTGTACCTTCTGTATTTGCAACTCTTGAGATATTTTGAGAGTCCCTTAATGCCATAATCTGGAAGGATATAGCAAGCTTAAAGCTTTTGTTGGTGAGATTCTCTGGGTTTTATTAACAGACAAATGTTTTGTGGAAACTTTTTTTATGAAGTTGTTTACTAATTTTTCAGCTGAAATGGAGCTGTAACAATGTGATGATACTCTCTGACTCCTATTGAATACATTCTGTCATTAGTTCTCAAAGTACCTTTTCACAAAGAAAACAAATAAGATTATAATACTATGCAAACAGAAACTCTTCGGACCATAAAGTGGCTTGTCCAATGCTATTCAGTCCCATCGTTAGTAATAGAACTCATGTCTTCTAAGCCCTAGTCCCATGTTTTCAACAGTAGACCATAGGATTCTTTTGCATTCTCAAAGTATGTCTCTTGATGCTCTTTCATTATGGGTTGTAAGACTGATGGATCGATCTTGGGAATGTTTAAGCTGTAATTGCTGACTGGGCATGGAACAGACATTGCAGATATGGTCTATATCCCAAATCTTAAGTATTTTATGACGTTCTGGTTACAGTAACTTGAAACGTGGCATTTAAAATGTTTTCCTCTCTCTTTTTTGGTCTTAATCTGCGGTGGTCCCAAAATGTGCACCTCTTCTATTCTTCATTCTGTTCTTCCTATTATATCTTAAGTTGAACAAACTTAGATTCTGATAGTCGAACATACTGTCGTGAGTAATTCAACTGGTCTACTTACTAACT